GAGCTAGAAGATGTTTCAATCAAAGACAAGCTATCAGACTCACTGCAGAAGCTGCTGGATGACACTCCATGGCCAGGTACTCTGAGAAGGCCTGTTTGGATGCAATTCTGTAAGCTACACCGTTTATTACATGTAGTAGTTGGAAGTCTGCTGTCCTAACCAAGCATGCTTGGACAAAGGACTGCAGGACCAATCAAAGAGAAGCATCCTATAAATAGAAATATCAAAATATTATTTTAATAAAAGTTGGAAGAAGAGCTTCAAGGACAGAAACAAATTTCCAAATAACACCAACACTCAGAGGTGCTGCGGTCTACCTTTGCACAGGCTACGAGGAGGCTGCCACCTCTGAGAATTAAGGCTGGGGTGCCTCATTTGCACCATGGCTTTGACAAGGTCAGGCAATCATGCTGTCAGTTGTTTGTGGTGAGATATCGGGTGACGTTTTCCATCTGTTCTGCAGTTACCCTCCTCCTCTCAGGTTCTTCCCCATGGTTCCATGAAAGGATTGGCCATGACTTAACTACTGTTATGCAGAACAGGTAAAGAACAGAAAAATTTAACTTCCAAGCTTAATATGACATCAAAAGTAACAAAACTAAGCCCAACTTCAAGAGTCTCTTCTACCTGAGAGTTAAAGCAACTACACCAATTCCCAGGTGGCTGGGACCAAGCGAGTGTGAAACTATGTCAGACACCTATCCTTCATTGTGCTTGCATCTGGGTTTGTCTTTTGTGCACACTATGGAGTAAGAAGTTCAGGAGAGTTGATCCAAATCCTCACATTCTCATTCTCCACGTACATAGGCTACTAGGAGTCAATAGCAGGGCCCACCCAGACTCACGGGAACTTCAGCAGGGAGATCTGTGCACAGCTCCATTCAGGCCTGGCATCCCCTGCCTATTCTTAAGCTGTTTAATTCCCAAGGCAAACTGTTTTGGAGTCATCTTGGCCCCCACCTCCCTTCCTTACACACAAACAGCTCTTCAAAAAGGGAGGCCTGTGCTGGCCCTGTTTACTTAGAGCACAAACATATTCAAGGCAGTGATGTCAGATTAAAGGAAGAAAGGGGAGCGAAATCAAAGCCTCTAAACTGCACATAAAAGACAATCACTGGCAACCAATCTGTTCTACTTCCAACTCTTTGCACTTCATGAATAAAGGTCAAGCTGGTATTGGCACCCAAATGTTAATGTTCTTATAAGGGTTTAAGCTGCTTTAACAGCTGAATAAGTGAGAGCGATGCGCAGGGCCACACCTCGCCGTCCCCACAGACAGAGCTCTGCAGCGAGACCCGACCGTATAGCATTGCTTACCGACTGCACTAAGGACACTTGCAGATCAAGCACCCCTTATCCTTGTTTTCCATCAGCTCTGCCTGCCGACTGCTGTTACATGTTCATCCTTTTTGTTGTGCAGGGCTTGCCAGGCTCCTTTTGGGTTCTGTGGCTGTGGTCTGCAGGACACGAGCTGACACACGTGCCATTACACCCCAGCCCAACTGGGGAGGACTCCTTTCACCTTTCCTCTTTTAAGAAAGATGCGCTTGTTTTTGATCACTTTTTTTTTGTCCCACCATTTAAGGATAAGATGGCACAACTACCTACTCCCCTGTTCTACAGCAAAAAGTTATGGGCTGAACAGAAGCCAGACCTTATCCCCATTTTCTTTCATGGCCCAGGCTCCAGCCCTCTGTAAACATGTAAGTTAACCAAGCTCTCGCTTTTGCAGGCTTTCCCTAACTGTACTCCAAGTACCACCTCCCAGAAGGAGCTAGCTATTCAATTACCTCACCTAACTCTCCAGGAGGCAGCAAAGACCCAACAATGTCCACGCTTCCAAACAGCCAGCACGCTCAAAAAGCCCCACACTGACTCAAAATACCAGCTGCAAGCACCAGGCACTGCACAAAAGAAAAGAAATTTTGAAAGAAAAGAAAAGGGAAAAAAAAGAGTCAATATTTGGGATGGGTTTTCATAAAGTCAGGACAAGTGCACTGCAGAATTAATTCATGTCTGGCATTTACAAACAGTAACTTGATCTTTTAGCTGGTGCCCTTGCCAAGTCGAGCAGTTTTTAAAAATTAAATTTCTGTAAAGGTGAATTTAGTGCTAATGAAATTGAAAGACCAGTCGTAGTAGCTCGAGCACGGCAGTGGCCTGGCAGGCTCTGCAGGGCTGCCCATGCCTGCTGGCATGGCCGCCCCGGGAGCCCCCCTGGGCAATGCCATGAAGGGGCAGGAGCTCTGCCAGCCCCCAGCCCTGTGGCACACTGACCCACGCGGCTGAGGGCAACACGGGCCACAGTGCTGGTGACACAGGCAGGCCTCTGCCGCCAGCACTGCCAATGGGCCCCTTCAGTACAGCCCCTAGTGCCTCTTCATGGAGCTGGATTGGGTTCTGAGGCAGCAGCCTTCCCTGAACGCCTGTGTTCCTGTTCCTCCACCTGGATGCTTACAGGAACCCAATCCTCACTGCGGGTTCTCTCCTCCTGCCTCTTCCTCGCACAAACACAGATGAGCCTCCAAGCCACGCTTTCTGCCTGTTGAACTTGTTTTCCACATCATTAAGTACAATTACCTACCTAGCAAGGGGATTAAAAAGCAAGCTCCAGCTCAGACTCTCCGAAGGGCCAAGCAGAGCATAATTTCCATATCCTGGCCGCTTTTTCTCTGCAGACGCAGCAGGGCAAACCCACCGAGGAGCGCGATAAACAAAGAGCCAGCAGGAGCAAGGAGCAGCAGTGAAAAGTGCACACACGCTTTGAGCCCAAATTCCTCCCCGATCAGCCCGAGTTACCCAGCAGCGCCCAGCAGGCCCGGACCAGGGCTCTGCTGTGAACCCCCCCGGAGTGAGGGGTGGGAGGAAGCCCCATGCCTGGCTCCTGCAGCCACACACGCGCCCCCCCCCCCCCCGAGCGTTGGCCCTTGAAACGAAAAACGTCGCAACGCATTTTTGCCTTGTGGGGCTGCCTAAGAGCCTCTAGACCCCCAGCATTTACCCAATTAAACTAATTGAAGGAGCCTCCAAAGCCACATCTGTAGGCTGACGTCTGTCCCTGCCGTTCGCTTTCGGCTGGGGGAAACTGTTCTTCATCCCATTGATCCCCGAATAGTCACGCCTGTCAGGAAGCCACATCAACCATTATCATTCTAATTTTACTGCCTTTCTTGGTCCCTAATCTAATTTGCAATGATGCTTAAGCATTTCGCAAGGCCATAGCACTTTCTTCAGAATTTCAACAAGAGCATTAAACCCTCAATTTACATTAATGAAGTCCACATTTAATTAGGGGAGAGGGTAAATGGAGGGCTCTTCAAGAGCAGTTTTCGTGATGCGATAGGCACTCAGAGAACAGAGATGTACCTGATAAAAGACTCCCTCACCCAGGCCTGCCTCCCACTGCTACCCCTGTGCCCCAGCCCGGTGCTCACTGCCCCAGGCCACCCGCAGGGAGCAGGGTGTGCCAGCAGGAGCACCCCCGGAGCAGTGCAGAGGGCACCACCTCCGGTATCAGGCAGGGAAGGGGACACGAGCACTGCCTGATCCTGCACATACCTGGGGCGGCAGCGAGTGAGATCTGTGGTCAGCAAACCCCATGCTTTTACACACAACCGTGTGCACAGCTGCGGCCCCACACACCCACAAGGTTTGTGCAGAGCCCTCTGCTGGGGCTTTAGCCCTGAGGGGCACCCAAGCACTCTCAGACCTCAGCTCCATGGGGCAGGGACTCCCTCTCTCCCAACATTTTCCCTGTAACTGAAGCCAACCAGGCTCCACACCCAACATCAATATCCACGTTACAAGGCCACTTATGATGCAATACACCGCTACAGAACACCGCTGTGGGCATGCCACTCCTCTGCATGCTCAGGACCCCTGTGAGCAGCACAGCATCCTAGCTTCCCTGTGCAGCGAGGGCCATACTACAGAGGGACAGAGGATGTGCCCTCTTCCCTTCCAGATGAAGGGGAGTCTACTTTTCCACCCAGTTATGCTCCTTGCAAAAAGTGCAGCTGGCAAAAGACGGGATGCTAAGATGCTGAAGTGCCAAGACTTACCTGTGTAACCTTCGCCTGCTGTACAGCCCTACTAGTGGGCGTTACTCATGGGTTATATGGGTCCATTTAATGCACTTCTCATTCCCATACCACTCCCAAGAGGAAACGGAAGGCACATTCCAGTATTAGAGGGGACTTGGGTGAAAACATGCTTTGAAAAAGGCAGTGCTCTCTGAACAATTTATCAAGACTGCAAAACGTGATGAAGGGGAAGAAGAGCAAAGACTACGTTTAGACAACATAAATGCACCATACAAAACCTGCTACAAGAGGGAGGATCATGAAACAATCCCCAAACTTCTGACAGAAATATTGTCAGGTGAACAGCAGGAGGAAAAAGGTAACACAAGAACAGAGAGAGAGAGATATGTTGCTTTACAAGGGGAGGACTCTGAGAAGTAAAACAGAGGAAGTGATTTAGCAATGAGCAGCTGACAGAGTGGGAGCTGAGTGATTTCTAACAGCAGAGCAGCAGGAGACAAGCCTTAAGAAGGCAAGGATGAGGGTGAGGGTGAAGAGGTTAAGCAGCAGAGAATGAAGACATGAGAGAAATGTGAGAGCAATGCATCGCAATTATACGTGGGCTGTTATGTCAGCTGAGACACTTGGGGAAACTCAATGCTCGCAGCCATCCTGACATAAACAAGCTGATCAGTGCTACAGACCACCACATGGAATGAAGACCCTGGCCCCAGGGCTCACCTGGGGACGGCGGGGCAAAGCAGCACAGAGTTTTGTGTCCTCACCCCTGAGCTTGCAGAGGAGTCCATCAACCCCACTCCTCCACCCACAGCCACTTCAGCTCCTGCTCAGATAGCGAAAAGCAGGTTGTGCTGCACACAATGGGCACAAGCCATCAGAAGATGGGCTGGAAGAGCCCACATATGACCAATTCACGCTCTATTGGTAGTGCCACCCCCCACGTCCACCCCCACTTACAGTTTGTTATCTTGCTGGGAGAAGAAAGCCAGAGCAGGGCCACCTCTATTAGAGGAGCCCCACCAGAGCTGGAGACTCCAACCCAGGTCCCCTGCAGGCCAGTCAGCCCCCAAAGCTGGATTCCCAAAAGGACCACAAGACTTGGAGAACCTCACTCCCTAAGGTCCTCACCATAACACCCAAACCCTGCTAAGGTGGGGAGCACTGCTGAAATAATCTCCTGGAGAAGCCAGGCAGGCCAGGTACCTGTGATGAACAGGTGGGCAGCACCTGCCCCCAGCTGTGGCCCCTTGCTGGTCCATCAGCTCACCACAAGCACCAGCTGGGTGGTTGCTGGCATGGAGGCCACTGCCCCACCTTTGCTTGCCCAAATGTCACCTGCAGGTCAAGTCACTGCTCTTCTGGAAGAGAGAAGGCAGGGCAGGGCAGGGCAGGGCAGGGGAAGCATCTGGGAGAACAGACAAGGCTGAATGCTGCTGTGAGCCTGCTGTGGGATGGTGATGCAGCACAGCAGTTTCTGGCTTATGTTGCCAGGGAAAATATCACTTTTCAGGCTTGGGGGACACAGGTCTTCTGCTACAGGATCTTACCATGTAACACTTGGCCAGCAGATCTGGATTTGGTTCATGGACTACTGCTATTGCTTTTTAAATATGAAAGCAACAGTGGGTTCTCCTTTCCAAGAGTTTATCATAAGCCCAACTGCAGAGTGAGGGCCATTTAAACTGTCTTCTGGTTTGTTGACTTGTGTGTTTTCTTCTGCAAAAGGTAAGCACTTTCCCAGTTAATAGGATAAAGCAAAATACTTGCTTAAATTCTGATGCCCCTGTGCATGGAGGTGTTATAAAAACTAGAGGACATGTGACACAGACCAAGTGGATATGGATAATGTAAGTAAAACTGAGACCTCATGCTGCTATTGCCTTCTTTCGTGGAGTTGCTCTGCTTTCTTATGCCCAGCCATTGTCCGGCCCTCTGCGGGTGCTGGACAGAAGGTCTGGGTTTGGGCTGCCTGGCCCGACAGCACTGCATATGAGACCTCCCCAGGTGAGACCCAACAGAGTGCTCCTGCATGGCCCCTGGGGCAGCCAGAGCTGTGGGCAGCAGTGGCTACACTCACCTCAGCTCCTTTCTCAGAGCTGGGATGAAAAGCAGGGCTAAATATTTCTGCTGCTAAGTTTCACTGTCATTGCTGGTCTGTGACCCAGAGGCAGACTGCTGTTCACGAGGCATGGCTGAGCACTTGGAGGCTGTCAGCATCCACCAGTGCAGCTACGTATGGCATCAGCCACCTCTCCTGGCACTGTATCTGCACCCAAGCAACACAGAAATGCTGTCCGCTAGTGCCTGACTCTGCCAAGGTCTTTGTCGCCTGCATTCCTATTGCTTGCCATTGGAAATCTGCCTCACTGGTGGTGGGGGCTTGGCCCAAGAGCTGATGGAGCTTTTGCTTAACAAAGGACCATGGTATCGGGCCACGCTGCCCTCCATCTGTGCACACATTGTGCTGTCTGGGACAAGGACAGAGTTTTCTCACTGCTGCACAGCAAATATGCTGAAGTGGCTTTTTTTCCCCTATTACTTTGATTTCGTGGCACACAGATTGCTTTTTCCCAAAACTGCAAGCAAAAGATACAGTAATGTAAAAAATGTGGAACCTTTTCTCACTCCTTTTTTCCCCCCAAACAGTCTAGAGGGATTTTTTCAGTTCACAGGAGAGGAATTTGGCCCAATTTCCTTGTAAATAAAATGCTGGATTGAAGACATATTTGTATCTCCAGTCACAAGTAGCACATGAGCAGTAGGATCACAGGGTTGATGCAGTATGGAATCCCATTTCTAAACAGAAGAGTAGCATCCAGCAGAGTTGTTGAAGCCTGGAGAAAAACAAACAAAGCATTAAGGTGGAATCAAGCAAGTTAACACAAAGCAAGAATACCAGAGCAATAACAAAAATAGTGAATTGCTTTACAAATGTCTAAACTTGGGAAACTGTTTAAACATCATTATTTCTTTTTAGTCAATCGTTCACAGAAAGTGTTAGCTGTTGTTTTTTGATGTCCATGTCAACTAGATCACATCTTAGATGGCAGCTGTGCTAATTCATCTGTGTCAGGAGACTGTCTGCTGAGATGATAGCAAGCTTCTTTCAGAATTTCTACAGCTGTGCTAGTCTGACAGGAACCTCACCAGAAGTCCTCCAAAAGGGAGAAGGAACTACCAGAGTTTTGTAGCCTTAAAAAAAAGCCAACAGATATCTCTACCAACTAACTTCAAACACTTAAGAATCCATGGAGTTATTTTCCACGATATGTTTACAAAGTCTCTGGATGTTATACTAACGTGAGTGTGCCCTCCCAGCACACCAGGACACTTTTTGAAAGCTTAAGATCCTTTTATAGTTCTAATTGTCTCCAAAACACAATATCCACTTCATATAGGTTTGACCTTATTTTTTGACCACAGCATGTTTATTTAGTAGAGGACCACACACAATACATTTCAGATGGCTTTGCCTCATTTTGGCAAATTAGTAGAAGGAGGAAGCATGCAAGTTATCCATAAGCTGCCAATTACAGAAAGTTACCTGAAAACTACTGGGCTTTTAGAAATGCCCGCTTCCCACTGTTGGTAGGAGTGCAGGAGCTGCTGGCCTCTGGTAGTGTCTTTATAAACCTTGCAGATCTGAAACCCCTCCTATAAATTTACCTTGTGACCTGAGGTTAACCACACACTTGAAACACCGTTTCAGGAATCTGATGGTCCTGTTTCAGTGGCTTCCAGAACAGGGTGGGTTTCTGCAGATTAACGGAAGGCTGCTTAAGCTCTGCAAGGTGCCAAAATCAAAGTAATAATGAAACGGAGCATTTGCAGACTTCGTATCGCCGGGCATAATTCAAGTGCTTACCAGTCAGGGGGTAGATGATACACAGATAGCATTTATGACTGCTAACTGAACCAGCGCCGAAAATAACTGTAGCTTAAAGTCTGGAAGCGAAATAGCTGCAAGGCCTGCAGTTGGGTACCTGAGAAGTGACCCATCTTTTTAGCATCTTAATATGGTATACTGGGGAGCAAAAGTTGATATTTGAATTGTCTGGCTCTCATTTGCCGCTGCTAGGTCCCCCATTTCTCCCCACTGAATTTGCAGAGGACATGTTGCTGAATCAGCCAGCTGAGGATGAAGACTTCCCTGGGAGGGCAGACGAGTCTCGGCCCCGTGCGGCCACCAGCACTCCAGGCAGTGACAATGATTTGGGCTGTGTCTGCCATGCTCACAAAGAGGCATCTGAATTTTTAGTGTGTTTTCCCAGTGGTGTGATGTTGGGCCATGTTCTCTTTTGTGTATGTTGCACTGATGAAGAATCTCAGTTCTGTCATATGGCCATCTCCCTTTCCACTTCTATAAAAGATAGCAGGGCTAACACCTGTAAATGCTATCCAGCATTAAAAAGTTAGGCTATAAAAGGGAAGAGGAAGGATTGGGTTAGGTCTGGCAGCTTTGACAAGCCTTGAAGCAGATGCTTTTTCTATCTTCTGTCCCTAATACTGCTCCAAAACAACTGCATAGGAGAAAGCAGGTGCCAGTGAGAGTGGGACCATCCCATCTGTAGGAAATCTCCGTCTGTTTTATATCCAAACTGCAGACATTCATCAGATTTCCCATCACTGCTTTGCCATTTACTTGCCCAGTGCTATGGAGGAGTGAACTCTAACGTGAATCTTTGCCTTTTAACACGGTGTAGGTGAATACAGCACCGTGTAGCTGTTAATGAGAGCACGTGTGATACTGCCCGTCAGCAGGCTGCCTGTGGAAATGAGACGTGTGTAATCACCAGAGAGGCATTCTACACATTCAGTCATAAATAATTAAGACTAACCTGCCTTCTCCAGCCCACTGAAAGAAGATAATGTCATTTGGCTCAGGTTTGGAGAGGTTTCATTTCCCTTTGGTACAGCTTCAAACAGCCTTATAAATACACGGCACTGAAACAATCACCTGAGGATAACTGCAGCAAACAAACGGGTTCTTACACCTGAGCCTCCTGGGCAGGGACTGCAATTAGTATCATGATCTGTGTGACAAAATATTATATACTAACAAATAGCGATTGCTCTCTGGGAAGGATGTGGATCAGGAGACAAAAGGAAAGGATGAATGAACTGAATCCTTTAACTGTTCAGAGAGGCAGTGGGAAGATAAGCACAGAAACACATTTAGGATGCAGTCCTCCAGGGAGGGTGTAATGGGTTTGTTAGCAGGAACGCACTCCCGTACAGCATGCTCCTGAAACCATTCAAAACTGGGTGCAACAGCATCTTTCAGTGCACAATTGTCTCCTGCAGCCACAGCCTCCTGATAACACGATTCCCAGTTCTAGCATGTCAGGAAAACATTTCTGAGCACACACCAGCATTTTTGAGCACGCATCTGTTACATGCTCCTGAAGCGCTGGTATTCTTCTAACATAACACAGGCATTTGTGAACATTTTTCCACAGCACAAGTGGGAAATGTGACCTTTTCGGGTACACATGCTCCACCATGCTGCACCCAGTCAAGAAATTCTAGTTATCCCAAGATACTGCTGTAACAGTTTGAAATGTAGTATTTTTGTAGATAACTATTTTCCTTTGCTTTCTTGTCCATGTTTATTTGCATATGCTGAACTCTCAACAAATTTACTTTTTTTGCTTTTTCCAATCATCTGTTCACAGCCATTTCTTGACTACAGTTTGTACAGCTTTATATGCATACAAGGCTATAAAGCATTCACTGTTAACCTTACGATGAAAGGCAATAGCAAACATTTTATTGCAGATATTAATATGAAATTATGTTTGTCTTTTGGTAAACTACAAAACTTTGTTCTTGTGCAGGTGCTTTCCCTGACTAACAAATAAAAGACAGATATCACACGGATGTGTGGCCTTATTGAAAGTCCACTACTGTGACTTGTAAGAGTGGAGTAGAGCAAACAAAATAGCTGATGTTTACCTGGATTCCTGAGATGAGGACGATGCCTGGTTTGGCTGCACAGCTGCAGTTCACATGTTTATTTCTGCTTATTTCCTCCTGCTTCCGCTTTTTGTTTCTCTTTCCTTCTCCTATTTTCTGTCTCTCTATGCTTCCCGTTTCAAGTCTTGTTTTGGGCAGGTGCTATGTGTGAAGGAGAGACAGCCTAATAGCAGGACTACATATTTGTCAATCATACACTCTTTCACTGAGCAGAACAACTGAAATATTAGAAACAAATTAATGATAACATTCACTGTTAGATCTCAAAGCTGGGGCTGTAATTATTGTTTCGTTGACTGAAAACCTAAAAAGCAGTAAAGGACAAAGTGATTTGACCTACACTTAATGCAGAGGATCAGTGGTAGAAATTTGAGTGCGGTGCTCAATGCATTGACGATTGTAGCTACCCTACAGCCCTCTGACCCAAGACTGCTATTTACAATTTAAATACTGCTTAAAATGTCTCCCAGAAGTGTCAGTTTTGATGTAGTCACTTATTTTCAGGTGCTATGAATACACTCCTTGCTATCTTGCAGGGTTCTGAAGAAGAATTCAGCCTTGAGCTGCACCCACCAGCTACACTTCCTCTCAGTCATTCCTGCTTCCTCCTCACTCCACACAGTGCCTTGCATGTGCTCTTTCAGGAGCTCATCTCTGGCACTTTCCTACTTTCGCTCGTTCCCTAGTATGTGCAAATCTTGCTTATCCAAATATTCTTGTGTCTGCTTGTCCTGGTATTTTTGGTCTCTGCTAGCACAACCCCTTCCCTAGGGTTGATTTTTTCACAGTCAAGCTGAGTCCCATTCTGTGCTGCGCAAATTGCAACTACTTAAAGGATGAAAATGAAAAACACTTGTGCATGTGTTTTAAGGCTAAATTGCTGCAAAGTCCTCCAATAACACTGTAGCAGCTGAGAATCCCCAGAAGAGACAGTACAGTCTAAAATCATGTGAAGTATTTACTCTTGAGGGGAGATCCACCACATACTAAGCAAATTTGGAAATGGTTTTCCTTTCTCTCTTTCTGTTTTCATTTTTTCTTTCCTTTACAGTTGTCTAACACCAGGATGCTGTCTCTTCATCAACAATGCAGAGCAATGTATACATGTATATACATATATACATGTATATATAAAATAAAAGGAAGAGAGTCTATGCTGAGTTTTCAAGCTTCTTCACCTCCTTGTCTGTTTGAGATGCTGGTCCTGGTGTGGGATAAGCTGCCTCCTGGAGCACCTGCTTGCTATCATTTACTATTTCAGACTGGGCACTCCATCTGCAGGGAGCTCCACCACATCTACCCAAAGCAGCTGAAATCCTAGCAAAGATTCAAATTAGACTCTTCTTACAGCTTTTGTCAGTAACTAGCAGGATTCAAATCAAACAAAACCTGTTTTAATCCTTGCAAGGTATGAATTTTAACCAGACACCTCACTAGCAACAAGGGAAATACTTTTTTTCGTGAAATCTACACACACCCCTGCTTCCACAGTTTAGCGTAATCTGAAGCAAGTTCATTCATTCGCTTTTGTCCTCACAGCCTTAGTGTAGAAAGAAAAAAAGTGTTCTATAGTCTGATGAAGGAGGGTGTTAAGGGGAAAATGAAGCTTGGGTGCTTTGTTCTGAAATAAAGAATTAGGAGTTTTCTGAAAACCCACTTATGAGAACAGTAGTAGCCTGAGAGCCAAGAGAGAGATACTATAAAGGGTGTCAGTCCACAGCCTAGAAATAATCTGTGACTCAAAAATAATTTGGTATGAGATTATTTTAATTTTGCTAAGTGTTCATTATTGGATTAGCATATTTATCCATTTCATATACACAGAAAATGTGCCTGAAGGAGTTCTGGAGCTGCTGTTACAAGACCCCCCCCCCAAACCAACCAGAAACACTCTCCAAACCAAACCCTTTCTCTCCCTGTTCAGCCAAACACTGCTTATTTTTAGGCTTCTCTATTCACTTTTTTTAATACCTAGGCTTTCATTGGAGATCACAGACTTGAATTTCAAATCTTGGATGCATCTGGGGAAGAGAAGAGAAAAAAAAACGGCAAACACAGAGGGGCTGGCAGTTTGGGTGGTATTAAAAAAAAAAAAGTATTCAGGCAGAGTGTAGTGAGAATAGTGGTTTGAAAATACAACCCTAAAGGAAGAGTCTCTAGAGAGACAATGGGAAAGGAATAAATAAAAAGAAAGTTATAAATTCATCTATTTGCTCTTCCCTGACCCTTGCTTTTACTCCTCTTCACAGCAACTACCCTGGGAAAGGCACAATGCCTTCCCCTGTCACAATATTGAGAAAAATTGAAATGAGGAAGAAAGACCACCAGATGCTTTATTGTCTTAGGCGTTTCCACATAATTAGCTGGGAATAAAGGTCCTCTGCATGGTTTCATTGCGCTGAATGAACTTGGATATTGCTACACAGTAGTGTGTTTTATGATTCATGCTCTGTTATCCAGTGGCTTTTTGAAAACTGCCAGCTACTTTATCACTGACGGCCAAGCCCGGGCCTACAACTTAAAATGCAGCAATGCAAAGTTAACTGTGCATGACAGATGTCCATGAAATTGTTTAACACATGCACATGCACATACCACACACACACAAACACACACGCACACAAAGCTGTCTCTCACCCCCTGCTCCCTCTGTAGCTCTCGCTGCGAGGTCAATGTCGCTCCTAAATGCGAGTACGAGCAGTTACCGCAGAATATACAGTAAGTGCCCAGCGGAGAGGGCAGGCTCCCTCCCACTAGGCCTGTGCCACCCAGCCCCAGCTGCTTCTCCGGGCTCCCCTCCCTTCCATGGCATTCCTGCTGACAAGAAATGTGAGGGGAGGGCCCAGGATTTTTAAGTTGTCCTCAAATCATTATCAGAGCCTGCAAGGCTTTGCATTAGCAGCAGTACTTCCACAGGAGAAATGCAAGGGGAATAACCTTCTTCCTTAACACCTTATGCCCATTTCCCACAGATTTCCTTGGCAGAGGTTCAGGCCGTGTTCCTCCTCCGAGGCCAGCCCTGGACCATGCCAACATGGTTGTGCCCTGTATGAAGTGGCCCAGGAGAAGCAGGCCGGGGCAGGAGCGAGCTTTTGGCTGGGGGAAGCGCAGTGCTGCGGGTACAGGGTATTCCCTGTGGGAAGCACAGGTTCACTCCAGCTTCCCGACCCACTTGTCAAGCACCGTGGCGTGAAGCAAGAGAGGGGCAGGCATATCCCTCTCCTTTCTTTGCCTTCCATGAACAGCTCTATTGATTGCGATTGGGTTATTAGCATGGGAAGGTGGTACCCAATGTGAATGGAAGTGACAGCAGCGAGCCAAAAGAAAGGGAACGGTGAATTGGCTCCCCCCAGAAAGAGAGGGGAGCAGTCCCCTGACCCTGCTTGGACTTACTTTGTATTCTGCAATGGACAAGCCCCTTCCCCAAGGTCTTCTGGCTGCTCCAGCAGGCGGGCTGGAAACCCTGAGAAACCCTGCAAGTGCTCAGCAAATGGAGGGCACACAACACAGGATCAATCTGTCAGATCACAAAAACCACCCATGACAAATGAAATGTGCAAAGAGAAATCCAGACCCAGGCACAAAACAGAGAGCCTTTTGCTGCCCATTTCCTTACATTGAAACAAGCACAAAATTCACTTCTGTTAACTTCACAGTATTTTGCAAGGGAAGTAATAATACCGCTATGGGGGATATCAGGCCAACTTCTCAGCCCTTGGGCAGGAATGCTTCTGTTTTCACAGAGGTGGCCCAACTTATCCTTCTTAGAGATTTGGGTTTGTGCCTAGCACTTGGTCAGCAAACTAAATCCAAGACCAAACTGAAGAGGATACTCACAATTCCTAACAGACCTCAGGGTAAATTCTAATCACAGAATCATCTAGGTTGGAAGAGACCTCCAAGATCACCTAGTCCAACCAATGACCTAACACTAACAAGGCCTCCACTAAACCATATCCCTAAGCTCTACATCTAAACATCTTTTAAAGACCTCCAGGGATGGTGACTCAAACGCTTCCCTGGGCAGCCCGTTCCAATGTCTAACAACCCTTTCGGTAAAGAAGTTTTTTCTTAATATCCAACCTAAACCTCCCCTGGCCCAACTTTAGCCCATTCGCCCTCATCCTGTCACCAGGCACGTGGGAGAATAGACCAACCCCCACCTAGCTACAGCCTCCTTTAAGGTACCTGTAGAGAGCGATAAGGTCGCCCCTGAGCCTCCTCTTCTCCAGGCTGAACAAGCCCAGCTCCCTCAGCCGCTCCTCGTAGGACTTGTTCTCCAGGCCCCTCACCAGCTTCGTCGCCCTTCTCTGGACCCGCTCAAGCACCTCGATGTCCTTCTTGTAGGGAGGGGCCCAAAACTGAACACAGTACTTGAGGTGCGGCCTCACCAGAGCCGAGTACAGGGGGACAATCACCTCCCTAGCCCTGCTGGTCACAGTGTTTCTGATACAAGCCAGGATGCTGCTGGCCTTCTTGGCCACCTGAGCACACTGCTGGCTCATATTCAGCCAACTACCAACCATCACTCCCAGGTCCTTCTCTGCCTGGCAGCTCTCCAACCACTCATCTCCCAGCCTGTAGCTCTGCTTGGGGTTATTGCGCCCCAGGTGCAGGACCCAGCACTTGGCCTTGTTAAACTTCATGCAGTTGACCTCAGCCCATCGGTGCAGCCTATCCAGATCCTCCTGCAGAGCCTTCCTACCCTCGAGCAGATCGACACACACACCTAACTTGGTGTCATCTGCAAACTTACTGAGGGTGCACTTGATCCCCTCATCCAGATCATCAATAAAGATATTAAAGAGAACTGGCCCCAGTACTGAGCCCTGGGGGACTCCACTAGTGACCGGCTTCCAGCTGGTGTAGAAGACATTTCAGGGTGGAAATGAAGCTGCAGACAGGTGTCACTGATACGAATTTGCCCATGAGATTTATTTTTTTTAACAGGTATTTTTCTCCCCTCTGACACCCACTCAGATCTCAGATCTGTTTTTAATCCCATCTTGCATGCCTGGGGCCGAGCAGAGCTGCTGCGACACAAGAGCATAGAGGTGCCCTAGAGATGTCGAGAGAACGCTGTGCTCTGGTGCTGTCCCAGGGAGCAAGCTGCACGACTCCTCACTGTGGCTCCTGCTCCTTGGGGCGAGCGGCCGCAGCCCGGCAGGACACCGAGTAAGCGCTGCGGGATGCTGTGTGTGTTGCCGTAGGGAGGTGTGCCTGCCTGCCTGTGTGTGCATGTGGCCGGTGGGTGGCCCGCTCAACATTTCGGTGGATGTTTCATTCCCACCCCTTTTACTACGACCCTGGTCAGGCCACTTTTATGCCAGTGACAGCTTCATGAAGCACAAAACATGGAGCAATACATGGCATGAAATTGGCAACAAAGCCGAGCAAAAGAAGGAACAATTCTCTGGCAGGATGTGATCACAATATGGCTGATTGGATCTGGAAGCAGATGCCAGCAGTGGGTATTGTCCCGGTGACTGAAAAGACATGACCCCCAAGGTACAGAAGACAACGAGGCCCTCCTTATGAACCACAGGGGGAGGGGAGAGGAGGTGAAACCAATGAATAAATCAGGCAGTGGAATCAGGGGAGAAAAGAAAATGCTAAAGAGGACTTTTATGGGGAGCAGGGCAGCTCAATGCACTATAGCCCTACCTCCCCAGCTAGCTGAACACTTTCTCAGACAATGGCTTTTTAACAGATGGGAGCCCTGCTGAAAGGGGCCAAGTTTTGTGTGGTTGAGAATCCCTGTTTGTTTAGTCTGCTGCTCGGGCAGGTGTCTGCAGAAAGGCAATCCAGCAGGTTAAGTGTCTCAATGGCCATTTAATACAGGCAAGCCAGCGTATCGAGGAGGACTGGTTTCACTGGCAAGGGATGGACCTCGCTAGACTGGTGTGTGAAACCCTGGGGATAGGGAGGAAAAAAAAAAAAAAAAAAGACCTCTTTTTCCTTTTCTTTTAAGGACAGATTTTCTTGTGCTGAGGCAATTGGGCCCCAGCAATAAACCCTGATGGTAAGGCTGCTTCATTTCACAGACACCGACAGGGCATGAAACAGCACAGCTTGCCAGGTCACAACTCTGTGCTCCTACAGGCGTTCAGTCTTTCCCTCCTCTCCAACAATACATTTGAAAATCCAGCTGCTCACACTGCATTTTTCTGAATGGGCTTCCTTATCTATTTCTGAATTTACCAGAGGTCCTTGAAATTTGTCTCACATAGCTCCAGACCTCAGCAATGGGGAATTCTTCTCTGCCACAGAGATACTGCTGTTCCAGTCAATTACAGAGGTGTGTGGTGTGTGCGTGGTGCCGAGAGAGGCCACGCTGCATGAGGCAGCCCACAGCAGCAGGCATGGCTTTGTCCTGCATGCTGAGAGGTGGAACTGATGGCACAACACGGGGCTGTGCCCACCACAGGCAGCAAGAAAGCTCTCCTGGCCCACTGGCAGCCTCTGGTGATGCCAGCCCCTGAGACTTCCATGGAGGAAACTGCCCTCTTTGTGGAACCCCCTTGTGTTCACTCAATGGCAGCCACAATGGGGCAATTTGCTTGTGCAATCCTACCCAGAATGGCCAGGTTATAACAAGACGGCCTGTTCCAAGAACATGAAGCAAGGAGAGTGGGAAAGGGAAGAAAAATGCAGGCAGCATCACTCCTTTCAGTCATATCGCTCTTAAGACATTGCTCCCTTTCTAGCAGGGCAGGTCTCTGGAGGATAAACAGGTGTCACTAGTTTTAGGGGCTGGATATAGCATCATGGAAGCATTGCTAACCCAGTGCCCTACTACCCCAGGGCTCCCTCTCCTACACCTCCAGGTCTGTTTTGGAAATGGTGGTGAAAGCTTCTTTCCTACAAAGACTGCGTTGCTGCATGGCTACTGAGCCCACCCACGAGAGATGTGCCAGAACATTTCAAAGCAATACTCACTGTATGGAGAGCTTTGTCTCCTCCTTTCTACTTTCTTTTCAAAAAAAAAAAAAACCAAACCTTTCTCCGGCTGGATTGGGTTAAACACTACAAAATACTAACCTCCGCAGACAGCTACATATGCAATTAAATCTTTGTTACCTATTTTCTGGCATCAAAAACTGGGGTCTTCAACTAGCAGCCTAGGCACAAAGGTCTTTCTAGTTAATTTCCAACCTGTAAAGCCCCTTATTTGAATATTTTGATACAAATTTAAGCATTTTTTTTCAAAGCACCTAACGACAATGCTAATGCTTTTTCTGAATTTTCCTCTTCCCATTTAGTTATCTTTGTACTATTCATTTTAGAGGCTTAGAGTAGAGTTTATACAGCATTAGTATTCATAGGCACATGCTAATTTACTCTCATGTTTGGATATGTAAGTGGTTTTCTTCAGATTGAAACAGAGGGGATTAGATCTAGATCACTTGCTCTGAAGAAAAGTTGTAACACACCTCAACTTCCTTTTCTTTGCAACGTAGAATCAATTACTAAAACTAAACTTTGTATTCCTCCTGCCAAAAGAAAAATAAAATTAATCTGCCACAGTCGTGCAAAACGAAAAACTAATGTATCCCAGCTGGAGAGAGTCATGTAGCCCGCAACCTCTCCCTCTGCCTTCCTCCTACTCTGCACGGAGCAGTGCCACCGCCAGCGGTCCCTTCCTCAGCCCCGTGTACCCACCCTGACCCCAGAGACCAGGGCGAGAGAGAGCCTTCGCCCAGCAGAGGGCAGGGATGTGCCTGCCCCAGGCAGCCCCGGCGGCCACA